AGAGCTTGCACAATTTGTGGGTGACTAAATACTTTTTTTCCCCCCTGTATATATATATATATATATATATATATATATAGTATACAGTATATATATTGGGGGCGGGCTCAGATTGTCTTATGTACGTAGTGGGGGCCCCAAGGAAAAAAGGTTGGGAACCACTGGGCTAGACCAACAGTCTAACAACGCAATTACCACATTCAAGGAACATGAGAATACTTTTTTGTGCTATGAGAATACTTTTCATGCACAAAGAAAAAAAAAATAATTACTTTAGTCAACAATATATTTTCTTCCAGGTCAGTCTGCCTCTGCCGCCATTCACAAGAGAACCATGATGCAATGGTGGTGGACTGATTCTGAAGAGAAAAACTCTTTGAATAAAGTCATTATTTTTGTTTTCTTTGTAAACAAAAAGTATTCTTGTAGCTTCATAACATTGTTTGGAACGACATGAGGGTGAGTAATTAATAACAGAATTTTAATTTTTATTGACATTTTTTTTAATAACATTTTTATTATCCCTTTAAAGGGTTAGTTCACCCAAAAATGAAAATTAGCCCATAAATTACTCACCCTCAAGTCATCCTAGGTGTATATGACTTTCTTCTTTCAGACAAGTCCAGTTGGAGTTATATTAAAAATAGTTTTTGATCTTTCATGCTGTTTAATGCCACTCAGCAGGTGTTGCATGCATCAGTCCAAAAGAAGTTAAATAAAAAGCGCCCATCCATAAAAAAAATGTCTCACACGGCTCTGGGGGGTGAACAAAGGGCTCCTGTAGCGAATCTATGCGTTTTTGTAAGAAAAATAACTATATTCAAAAAGTAACAATGACTTTAATCTAGCTTGTGCTCACTGTTGTACACTGAAAGCAGTTCCGGACGGATGACGTATGAGGTCGGCTTTAGGTATGAGCAGCAAAATCCTTTTTCCCAGTGTTATCTTACTGCTAGACCACCATGGACAAGCAACCATATTCCAAAAACCAGCTTAACCTGTTCTTTTCCCCCAGAAGGGATCTGCTCGCATTAAATATTATGCCTGGATTGCAAACAGTGTTTGAATAAACTCTTTCATGTAATTTAATGAAGGTGTAACATGAGACTTTGCATTTTTAATAAGACGCGCTACCTAAATTCGGCCTCAAGTGCTTTATACCACATCATATCAAATTGAATCATTCCTCCCCTACTCTGCCAAACATGAACAATACACTTCAAACATGATGTTTGACAACACAACAGAATTCCGATGGGATGCCCAAAGCAGTTAGCAGAGCTCTAGCATGTATCACATGATATCAGAGGGGGAGGTGAGAGAAGGAGATATCTGCCTCTTTCTGAAGATCTCTGCTGTTCCATCCATGTACTCAAAATCACAAGATCCAAGAGAAAAGTCTTCAAAGTGAAGTGTGAGAAAGAGATATGTTGAGGTTTTACTAGTCTTACATAGATTTTGGAAAGTTCTTGCCATTTTTGTGTACAATATGCCTCAGATGGTCTGTGGGGCTCCCGTCCAAACCTCAAAATAGGATTTTACTGACTAGGATCAGTCATGTAATGCTACTCAGCATGGTCCTCAAAGGGCTGGTGTTTAAGAGCTGATCAGAGGTCAGATAGTAAGCCGGACACTAACCTGCAGCCATCTGCATGTATCCTGCCAATGTGCAGATCCTCCTCTCCCAGGCTCCACCGGGCAGGAAGATGGTGATGATGGCCAGCAGGGAGCTGACTGCCAGCAGAGCACATCCACCTGAACACAGCACCGCACTCGTCTGCAACACACACAACACACGACACTTACAGATACTGCTGCTCTTATAAGAGTTCAAACTCTTTCTGGGGCTTGATTGAGTTTTACCACTCAAGCAATCCAAATTTAATTCTATTCTCGTAAAATGAGTGAATCTAGCCACAACTGGATTTAATAGGTCAAGGTAAAACCACAGATTTTAAATCAAAACTGCACTAAACACTGAACAAAAACATCACATGGCTAACCACGTAAAGCCTTACATAATATAATTATTATAATATATTATAATATAATATAAGTCACTTTTTGTACTATGGTACTATTAGGCTGTGATTTATGGTACTATTAGGATGTTATAGTAATTTAACAGTCACAACAAAATACATTTCTCATTGCCTTAACAATCTTTAAAGCATTCCTATTGATTTTTTTTCTTCTTAAAGGGCTCTTCATTTTCATTTGGGGTAGTCTAAACAAACACAGAAAGCAAGTCATAAAAAAAATATGTATATAAGTTACAAAAATATATAAATGTATGCATCTACATTAAATGTATAATATATTAATACATAAATTAAATAATTGTGGATAATATAAATAAATGGTACAAAGAACACTGTTATAGTGAAAATCAATGAGGGTAAATATCATTTTAATAATAATAGAGCGGACTGCAAATAAATAAATAAATACAATAAAAAATTTAATTAAATAAAATACAAAGAAATATATACTAGGTAAATGTATATATTTGTATATGTATAGTAATTTTTTGTAACAGGACCAATTCTCACTATTTACTAGCATGCATATTACTAGCACACTAGCTGTTTATTAGTACGTATAAAGCACATATTAATGTCTTATTCTGCATGACCATATTTAAGATACTTGAATCCCCATACCTAAACTTAACAACTACCTTACTAACTAAGCAGCTAATTAGGAGTTTGAGGCAAAAGTTGTAGTTAACAGTCAGAATTGGACCTTAAAATAAAGTGTGACCAAATTTGTAGTAAATATTGACCGTCTCTGCTATTCATCCACTTTCAAAAAAAAGCAGCTTGGCCATTCTACTTAACATCTTCTTTTGTTCACCACACAAGAAAGAAAATCATATGTGTTTGGCACAAATGAGTAAATGATGACAAAATGTAATTTTTGGATTAACTATAAACTTAACATTAAACGCCGAGCACAGAGTCACAGAAAACAGGGTAGACAGAAATATGAGGTGTGAAATCAATCAGTTTTTTCTAAGTGCTTACTCAGTGGGATCAATTTAGTGAAACAGCGTGCACTGATCTCGTCTAATCTACAACCTTCATCAAATCAAACGCTTCATCAGTCGAAAGGCTCACTCCGGCACTACACAACGACCACATGCCTGGTCCAAAAACAAAAATAAAGGCCATCCCAGATAGGAGATCTCTAAAATATGGATAGATATCTCTCATCTGGGCTTTTTTAAATCAGATGTTTGCAAGAGCAGGCTGCATTATTCCTATATTATATTATTATTAATATAATTCCACAATATATTGTCTAATCTACAACCTTCATCAAATCAAACGCTTCATCAGTCGAAAGGCTCACTCCGGCACTACACAACGACCACATGCCTGGTCCAAAAACAAAAATAAAGGCCATCCCAGATAGGAGATCTCTAAAATATGGATAGATATCTCTCATCTGGGCTTTTTTAAATCAGATGTTTGCAAGAGCAGGCTGCAGGTGCTGGCATGTCTTTGTTAGACTATGACCCAAAACTCTAAAGAGTACCTAAACAGTTTGCGTTACAATCCCTAAAACAAAAACACGGAGGACGCATATCAGAGACAAGAGGCAATTGATCTTACTCTGATGTAATACATTTAGGCCTGTGAGGCAGGACACACTGACATAAAGAATTATCGATGTGAAAATCAATGTGTATCTGTAACTTAACACTTAGATGTTGCTGTTGAACCAATCTTTTAGATCCCCACAAGCCTAACATTTAAAAATCAAAACAATTGTCAGGACTATATTATTCCACAAAGTGTCATTATCGTAACCCCAAAATTTGGCGCACACAAACACACATAAGCTACACATAATAATAATAATATACATGTATGAAATGTACACTTACACAACAATTTAAATATACAAAAATATATGGATAAACATACAAAAACATACTGTTTGTAGTACCACCCAGTGGAAATAGACATGCCACAAGACTGTAAGAATATTTAATAACAATATTTTAGTATTAATACACTTTTTATTTCAGTAGCCTATTCTAAAATGTGTTCAGATGAAGGCTTTCTGTAGAGGTGGGTCACAGGTGGCTGCTTTTCAGTGAGAAACTGAGGTTTTCTTTCTGACAGTTTGATCTCACTGCCTCTTCATTAGATCAGCTGGAGCTTTCAAATGCTGTTTTCGCACACAGAACTGCAGTATCAGACTTACTAGACCAACTCAACAACAAAGTAAACACAACATCTGTTAAAAAACTATCAGCACATCTCTTGCACAAACAATACACATACACAACAGAGTGCGGTTCTTAAAGCAATTGTCACATTAGCAGTACATATCAGAAAGGAGTGACAATAATAATAGAATTGCCAGTGACTTCAATACCTTGTCGTCCTAATGGCGAAGACATTAATGGTAAGAGCTGAACGCTAATAAAGACTGGATGGCAGATTCATAGGTGACGTCTGAAACTGCAATATAACATTTGTAGTAATTATGACTGTTTGTGCTGATGACAACATTACAACTTCCTTTACAATAATGACATGTCCTAATAACGCAAAATTCTAATAACGCAGAAAGCGAAGAAGTGGAACGTTGCAGACACTCGGCAGAAACATATTTCCTTCAAACTGAACTCATTCCCCTTTAAATGGTATTCATATATTCATTAGAAACGTCTAGTTTTCTCAGCGCCATCTCTTGATCTTGCCATCTTTGAAGCCTTTAGATGAAATGAGCTCTTGCCCACTGTGCTGTCAAACATTACCGTGTTTCATTACAACTAAGAGAGACATATTAGGGCTGCAACAGATCAGATCCAGAACTAAATGGTATCCTGGAAAATCATAAATAGGCTGTCTATGACAGGAATGTTGATGGTGCTCATAAGTTAAACAAGCAGTTTGCATATTTCATCCCTAATGTATATATAGTCTATGTATGGCTAAGAAATGGAAATGTACTTCTTGAGGTCAATACTAATTAGTGGTGCTTGCCAAGTGTGCTGTTACTTTTCAAAGTGATCAGACTCATGATTTTTCATCTAGTGGATGATAAACTGGGCAAAAAATTCTATACACTGACGCTGAAAGCAGGACCATTTCTAGAGACCAGAATATCTCAATAGAGACTTGAGTTGGGCAACCACTCTGACAACAGGCCATAATATCCAAAAGCCTTTTATTGCAATTGTAACAATCTTACATTTTGATTCAATTGTAATTTTATGAAGCTACGAGAATACTTTTTGTGCGCAAATAAAACAAAATGCATCATTGTACTCTCGTGAATGGCGGCGGACGGAAGAGAAAAATTGTTGAATAAAGTCATTACTTTTGTTCTCCTATTCAGAATCAAAATGAGCTTTATTGCCAGGTATGTTTACACATACGAGGAATGTGTTTTTGTGACAGAAGCTTCCACAGTGCAACAGAATGATAGTGACAGGACAAAAACTAGTTCTAATTTTTATTCTTGTAGCTTCAGAAAATTACGATTAAAACACTGATGTCACATGGACTATTTTAATGAAGTCCTTTTAATTTTAATGACTACCTTTCTGGGCCTTGAATGTGTCAGTTGTATTGGTGTCTGTGCAGGATCTGAAAGCTCTCGGATTTCATCAGAAATATCTTAATTTGTGTTACGAAGCTGAACGAAGGTCATTCGGGTTTGGAACGACATGAGGGTAATTAGATTTTCCATTTTAGAGTGAACCATCCCTTTAAGGGGAATACCTTCATGCTTATTTTTTTATGTAAATCATACATTTTCATACAAATCAAATCATACAAGTTCCTACAAATTTGCAACCAATTCTTAATTTGCCAAAACATATCATAAGCCGGTTTCCATCCAAAGTTGCAAATTTAACTTCGGTGCAAAATTGGAATATCACATAAAACATTTTCAAATGAGCACCATTTCCATTCAACAAGTCAAAGAGAACAAAATCATCACTTCCTGATAAATTGGCACTAAATATCACAAAGAAACGTAGGAGAAGCCACTGAATATAGCCATTTTCATTTAAGAATGACTATAACAAAATTTTCTCTGATTAGTGAGGTTATGGCATCCCATAGCGCAAAGTCACATGACTTTATTTATTTGGAAAATGTGTTTTCATCTCCCATTATTCGCATTAACCCTTTTTCGCACAAGCCAAAAGTAACATCAAGCGAGCGTAAACATTTTTTTGTACAATTAAGGGATTTTTTTCCCGAAATTTGGTGTTTCCATCATTTATTTCTGATGTGATACTTCAAAATGTTCATAAAAACAGGGTGATGGAAACATAGCTATAGTTATGTTTTCTCATGAGATTATTTTGGCAACATTGCTAGTATTGTGGCAGTAAGTTTTCCACAGGCATCGGCTTCTGTTAACAGGATGTTAACTATGTGCAGCTGAGTGACAAGTCATGTGACCCACATTTGGAACCCTGATGGCAGTGGATGTGTGGCCTTTAAGTTAAAGGGATAGTTCCCCCAAAAATTAAAAGACTATATTTTAAGTGTTTTTGCCCATACACTAGAAGTCAATGGTAACCAAAACTGAACATTATTCAAAATATCACCTTGTGTGTTCTGTAGAAAAACAGCACAGTCATATAGGTTTGGAACAACATGAGGTTGAATAAATAATGACAATTTTCATTTGTGGGCTAACTAGTCATTTAAGTAAATATAGACTCCAAACAAAGAATCCATTCTCATGTAGGTGAGACAAGTTCAGGTCTGACCCACTTCATGATCCAGTCCCACTGGC